TATATATATATATATATATATACACACACACATACACATGCACATACACATACACATATATACAAGCATATATACATACATACATACATACATACATACATACATACATACATATATATTTAAAGTCACAACCCCTGGTATGCCCAAATATGGGAGGAAGGTCACTGCTTCCATTCTCTGTCCATCGGCTCATCATAAGAGACCATCCAGACAGAAACCCAATATTTTTACTGTTGCCTTTGTTACATTGTGTTGCACAAACGCAACACATATGTATGTATGTGTGTATGTATGTATGTATTTTGTGTCACAACCCCTGGTATGCCCAAATATGGCAGGAAGCATACTGCTTTCCTTTCTCTGTCTATTGGCTCATCTCAAGAGACCATCAGCACAATATTTATCAGCACGATTGCAAGACACACACACACACACACACACACACACACACCACACACCCCTTTTCGGTTTATTGATTACCATTTTCATTTCTAGGGTTTTACTTTGTTGGGGTACTTTGTAATCCACACAATGTGTTCTGATTATTAGGTGGACTAGAATTAGAATTAAATAAAAATAAATGACATCAGCTTTCCTTTTTCATTGGTTCTACTTCGGTACTCAGGGTGATGTTTACAAAAAGTTACGTCCAATATTTTAGAGAGGAAATCACCCTGAATTTCTTCAAACAAATACTTCATGGTCTGCTGCAATTCTATATATGAGTCCTTCCAGCTTTGGCTTGTTTGATTATCTGCTTGTGTTTTTGTGTTCTTTAATCAAAGGTGATTGTATAATTCTCAACTATTATTATCAGCTTTACAGCCGTCTACATACCTGGGCTTATCAACAGTAACACACTGATGGATACTGTATGTTAATAGTTCCATTGGTAACTTTCACCTGGTAGCTTTAAAAATAAAATCAGTCAAGACATTTTTCCATCCTTCTGGTGGCATCTGATTCCCATTTTTGTTTTTTCAGCGAGCAATCAATGCCACGTCCTTTTTACGCCATATCACCAAGATGGGACCAGGTGCAGAGGGTGAAGAAATTGGAGAGGCAACATCTGGAGGACAGCGTGGAAAATGGTGACACCCCTCCCAGAGGTGGGTTCACTAAAGAAAAAATAGGTTTAACGTCAGCTTAGGTTTCTTTGAGTCCTGGTTTTTACTGCTTAGATTGAGAAGGCCAATTGCCTGTTTTCAGGACTGCACACCAAAGTGTTTACTTATCAGCAGGAAAATGCTCATGTGCAGCTTTTGAGCTATCACAGTTAATATGGCCGTCTTTGCAAAACAAGTTTACTCCTGGCGAATTTCATCCAGGCTTCTGGATTACCTAAGGAATCCTTATATATACAAATTCCATAGGCTGTTTATTTTTTTTTATTTTTTATTTTTATAATTTTTATTTTTATTTTTGTTACATAGACAACATATACACACAACAATAGAAAACGAAAAAGAAAAAAGAAAAAAAAACACACAAAAGGAAAAAAAAAAACAAAGCCCATCATCACATACAGCGTGTCATTTGGTTACAGGTGTTTTAACATTTATCATTCTTATACATTCATTGTTTCATTTAATAGATTCTAATTTAGTATCGTTTCTTATTCACCTACCTGTGACAATCCCTCCCAACTACGTTTCCCCCCCCCGCACA